GCGCTTGAGAGTGACCTGAGAGTGATTTTGTAATATTTTGTGTTTAATTTTTGAGTTTAATGATGATAATCGGCGTGTACAAGTTGTCTACTAGCAGTGGAACATTATCATCATCGTCGCTGTAGTCGAATTGTACAGATAGCATGAGCTACGGGCGCGTATCGGACCCGTCTCGTTGTATGGACATGCTGTATTGAAACCAGATTAAAGTAGGACTTGGGCGGCCGATGGCAGCCGCACAACTATCTTGACTTACTCTCCCACGCATGCGGCAATCGGAGTGCGGTGTCTATCGATCCTAATTGACCTAATTTTGCAGAAAAAATCCTTGTTGCTGCGGGAATGACGCCGTCGTTCGCGGCAAAATACTTATAGGCAGCTTCGCCGCCGATCGGGGCCCACGTACCAAACAACACCCCTTTCGCCATTTTTCAAGAGCTTATACTTATCCTCGTTTCGATATAATGCTACTATGGGGTGTTGGCATGACCATTCTTCGAAAGAGACAGCCTCGTCTAAATGAGGCACACAACAACATTTGTGTCAAACTACTTTCCTCGTCACGTGTCAATTTTCACTTAGATTCATATATACTTCACTGCTCCTATAGCGCCGCAGAAGCCCATCTATATATCCATTTACATCATTTATGACAATATTATCCACTTCCTTGCGCTGTCACGTCTGAGGGGGGGCAAACTCATACTTCGATGAATCCCAACGAATCAAATACACGCTCCACTGCCGGAAGAGATATGTCAAAACCAATTTGTCACGCGCTGGACCATCCACACATGTCATGCATAATGACAACTCAAAAAAGGGTGACAAGCCATTCATCCTCGCTTACATGCAGATGCAAATCGATACAGCGCCAGTGCTACATTTATATATTGCGTTTCTAGGGCCTTTCAGATTGGAGCACTAATGAGCAAAAGCTCATTGTAACGCTCGAATCGCTCTTTGAGTATCACTTACCAAGGGAACACGATCGACTACCTAAGCTCATACTATGTACAAGAAGCTTTTATGTGCTCCGATGATCGAAAGAAATCGACATACACTTTACGACCAGGCACTTGTCGTACCAATCAATCTATGTTTTTGCGATGGAATAGGGTTGGGAATTATGAGCTTTACACAGTTGCATACACTGTACTAGTATATTAGTACAATGTCTCGTGTCTTTTCGGTCTCATCATCGAAAAGCGGCGTTGGTTTGCCGCGTGACCGAGTCGGTCCATCGATGTGTTCGCGCAAACGGAGCATATCGCACCGGTGGACGCCATATGTCGCTCTGCACGAGCTTGATCTACTCGACCACGGCGCGCCACGATCCACATACATTTCAAGAAGTTTAACAAAAGATGTGGATTTGGCAATAGTGACGACGAGCCACGCGGTGTATGCCACACGCAACTGAGAGGCGACATGAGACACCTGGTTAATTAAGGGTCGTGCCAGCGCACTGCGTTGCTTTTTAGACGCTCACACCTCCTCGACGCGGACGTATCGTCGTCGCACCGGTCGTACGTGTCAGTGTCATTGCTGTTGAGCGACCGCATAGCCTCGGTGGAGTGGCCGGGGCCAGCGATCGTCTCCATGAGCTGTGCCGCACACTTCAAAGGTAGATGCGGTGTCAGTAGAGACAGTCTTGGTATTGATGCGGGAGAAGTTTACATTGGCTGTGCTACCCGTCGACGGGAACGCTACCTGCGTGAGAGCTGGGCGAGGAGGCTGCCGTGTGTGGGAGGTGAGACACTAAAATGCATGATTTTCGACATAACTCGCTGTCGTCGACGAATAGGCGTCAACGCGATGGCGCTGGGATTCGCTTCTCGACTCCGGTCATCGTCTATGACTCCAAGTCTACAGGCGTCGTCATATGGGGTTTAATACGCTGCGCTAGCCCGGCGAAGTTGCGATGGACCATGCTCGCATTTTATTGTGTGAGAGCGCCTCTGGTGTATCGAGTTTGTCAATTCCGCCGAAGAAGCTACTGAGATCGGATGAAAGGTGTATGGATCTAAGGATCGCACTATGGAAATGATATGAGCTCAAATAAGAATCTATAAACCAAATGCATTGTATTAGCCAGCGCTTCGTAGACCTTACGCTTGGGGAGCACACGGCGACCGTGTCCAGAAAGTAGCTTGCCTTGCTAGGCGCTGGCGCAGTGGTCGGCGAGCTTGTAGCGGCACATCGCGACCTCGAGCACGTACAAGAGCGCGCGCTCGGCGTCGAGCTCAACGTAGATGCTGGGGCTCAAGATGAGCGCACGGCGGCGCTCGTGGTCTCTGTGCTGGCTGTCGTGTGCAAACAGCAGGACGCAATGCGCGAGGTACACGAGGTTGTATCTGTCACGCTCGATGCCGCAAGATGACGCACGCTCTCCGAACGCGACGCGGCGCAAGCGCAGCGCCTACTGCGGCGTTGCCGTGTTTTGATATTTTCACTGGGTTTTGATATCCGGATGGTGTCCGGATACTTCGATACGACGCAACGAATTTGATGCCATCGTCCGCACGCCGCGCACAGGCTCGAGGTTGTCGCTGTCGGCGTTTGTCTCGGCGCATCGACTACTTAGATTTACCTCACAGCGCGCTAACGTGGAAGCAGTGGTATTTCTACCGCTACGGCGCCGATGGCTGCGACCAGCGCAGCATCGACGCCAGCAGCCACGACTTGACACTGGATTGACACCTCCGCGAGCTGCATTCGCGCCTGTGTACGTTGCACACCTGCGTCAAGGTATGAGCGCCGACGCTCAATGGCTGCGACGCTGCTCAAAATGGTGCTGGTACCACCAATCGTGTTTGGTGAGGCATCGGTACTCGAGGAGAAGTATTCGCACGCTGCATGAGGACGCAGTGATTTTTGCACGCGCTTAGCTGGTGTGGTGAGCTAATGTCCTGCATTAAAGCGATGCGTGACGAAAGAAGGACCTCGGCCACACGAGTTTCACCGTCCACAGTGGACAGGACGCCCGCTATCGACCGCCCTGCCGTGCGACCCACTGGAGCGCAAATTGCAGAATGAACAGCGCTTAAGGGTTTTCCTATTGTCGCGTAAAAACACTGCGTTTCGCTTTGTCGTACTTGTTTTTACACTTGTTTTTACACTTGTTTTTACACGACTGAACGATTGCTCGAAAAAGGGACCTTCTCTGAGGTGCCACGTCATAGAAATCGAGATTTTTCACATATTGTGAATATTTCATTTCTGGCACACGAGGACGCATTATAGCGTGACACACGTTTTACACAAGTGTCAATAGACGATATGAAATCGCTGTGATTGTGGAAGAGGTGCTCGCGTCCGAACATTGTGAGCTCCAAGCCTTTCGTTCCAATCCTTTCACAGAATATGATGGCTTTGGAAGCATTTGCTTTGGATGTAGTGACTCCAAGAATGCTGCTATGAACCGCATTTATGATCGCGCGGAAGGGGAGATCGTCGCTACTACAAGTGTAGAAGACGAAAACTACGATGTGCCAACGAGGTCATTTGCTTCTTACGTTTTAAGAGCGCTTGGTATCTTGAGTCAAGCACTGCGCGCGTTGTAGGACGGCAGCGGCAATGCAGCGTTACGTGCTCTGCTCCTCAAAGTGGTTTCTATCATTGTGCAAATTACATGCGATTCCTTTCTAAGCATGATGGTGTCGACAAGCGGCGCCGACGTCCTGCAGTGGTGCCTCTAAGATGGCACTAGGATCTTAGTTTGGAGTGCGTCTTGGATCGTGTCTCGCTGCCACTTTACGCCTCGCTCGTCCTAGATGTGTAATTCACACATCATGGAATCGAGAGACAGCAGTAATACGTTAGTAGAGGTCGGGAATACCGAGCCACGCGGGGCGCAACGAATGCTTGACCAACGAGTCGATCGTAACGTTCGGGTCAAACGCGACGCGATGGCTGTCGTGGATGACGACGACGTGGATACCACTGTATACGAGGTACACAAGCCCCTCAATCAATCAATCAATCAAACGTATTCGCGTTGAAATCAAATTAGCAAAAACTAACTCAAAGACTTCGCATACGTATGTAGTGCTACGCCTGAATGCGTGGGAGTTGGCACCAGCACTTGGTCGTTGGGAGTGAGCTGCGCACGGAGAGATCCATCCCGTGGTGGACCCCACTCGCTGAGGGTTAGCGAGGTCGTACGCAGGCTCCTGTACTCGGACCACCCGACAGTGGAGTGCAAGCCGTCGGGTGGGTTTCAAACGAAACCGTCCGAGCCCGCATCCGAATAAATCCGGATACCCACCGAGCACATAGAGCCGACGCCGCACGCGGCGAGGCTGGACGACTGGTGGCGGCGGCGGAGAGCCGGGAGGCGACGGGACTTCGTGGAGGCGGGGCGAAAGCACGGGAGGGCCAGCGACGTCTCATCTCTTTGACGGCCACCGCGGACTCGACGTGACTTGAATCGTCGAGGGGCATTGGGTGCCGAGCGCGCGAAGAGCGGCGCCATCGGCGCGACCACCAACCGCTGCCAGCGACCAGCACTTACACAGCAATGGACGTAAGACACAGAACACACAGCACGCCGGAGCGCGCCATGGCCCTGCGGGCGACGCGGCAAGCCGCGTTGTTTATTGCACCAGGTGCCCTTGGAATGGCGTCACCCAAATCCAACCAAACATCAAACGACGTCGACGAGAAATGTTACCGCCAATGATATTATGGTAAATACCCAAAGAGCTGAAGGTAGAACGCGAGGTTGTTGATCTGGTTCGTGTACACGTTGAAGATCGAGTTGGTATAACGTTGAGCGCCAACGACGGGCCGCCGTAGACGACTTGCTGGCAGTACATCACCACGTCTTCCGTGCTCGCAAGCGCCTCGAGCGTCAGCAAGAGAAGAATAAAGATGTTGTGCCACTCGCGCTTGTGCCAAAGTTGCGGCGCCGCAGCCATCGGAAGAGTGGTTGGCGCAGGTGCACAAGCAGAACGGGGTACTAGACGGACGAGGCGTGGTAATACCAAGGCTGTTGCAAGCGGTCGCGTCCCTCAGTAAAATCTAAATCGTAGCAATAATTATGAGGTGTCTCTCTGCAATGCGTTATTTTTGACGCCAAATTGGGCCATGATTGCGATCCACGTCGGTCTCTCGATTTTTGGCCACTCGCACGCGTCGTTCCACGAAGTCGCGCTTAAGTACCTCGGCGGCGCCAGCACCGTTTTGGCCCCGTGCCAGACACCAACCACGACCACGACAGCACCGACACGCTCGTCCTCTCGCTTTCAGCCGACAATGTCCTTGTTGTCTGGCCGTACGAGCAGCAGCTGCCCCTGCAAACACGCGATTGGCTCGGTGCTTAGACACCACGCTGACGCGGCGCCGGCGATCGCCGCGTGCTCCTGCACGTGACGACGACAACATCGACGCCGCACGACATTGTGCTGCTCGGGAGGAGCTCTCGCCGGCGTCGATCGACCTCCACGTCGCACGCCGCTTTGTGTTGGAGCAGCTGTCGGTGCACGTTCGGCATGTGGACTTTAGTGTTGATGACGCGCGGCTTTTTCTCGGGCTGGCTCGCGCCGTCGACTGACTATGTGGTTCAGAGGAGGTGTTCTTCATGCAGCGGCTCGGCGCCCCGGGGCACTTCAACGACGAGTGCCTCCGCTCAACCTTGTCACCGGCTGAGCCATGCGGTCCACCGTTAGTAGTCGTTGCAGGACACCAAGAGTTCGAACCCGTATACGCTTCAGTCTACCGTGTGGCGCCACGTCCTCGCCGTCGCCACCAAGGTGCGCCGAATGACAGCTTGTCCATCAACGTTATGCGAAATGATGAACTACCATTATGCAGCGGAGAACGTGCCCCTTGGCTTCGTGTCGTGCGACTTGTCCGGGTCGCCCGTGCTCTTGCGGCGCAACCACATGTCGGTGTTCTTTTCGGCCACCGCTTCGATCCTCGGCGACCGCCCGGTGACGATGGGAGACCTCTACGACTCGATTCTATTGCTTACGTTGTTTGCAATAGCATCCTACTATGCTTCGCTCGAACGCCAGTGGTAGTCGGACGTGCTCAAATGACATCCGTGACGCTTTGGGACGTTGTCCAAGCCGGGCTTCTTGGCGACGCTAGCGCCGGTCGCCATGTTCCGACCGTCCTTGCGCGGACCGTAAGCGTGCTGTCTGGTGACGCGGCAACGCAAACGTCGGTTCTCGATGCCCTTGTCGCTGATGTTACACTGCCGTGTATCTCGGACGATACGAGTTTGAGCGCCAAGGACGTGGCTGCGACCGGCCTCGCCCCGCCCTTCACCGTATGAGCGCCGTCGTCCTGCATGACATGCGCGCCGCGGCTACCGCCAGTGCGTGCTTTGTGACCTTTCTCTTCGATGCGACGCCGTCATTTCTCGCGGAGGTGACGGTGCGTCATGACGCTCGAGTTTTGTCGGGTACAACCTCTATAAGCTCTACGTGGCCGACGGTGTCTACGAAAGTGCCCACGCCGCACTCCAGAAGCTGGCTGCGCTCGGTGCAAGTGCGCCGTCGCTGGACGAGTGCGTCCGTTACTGTGTCGTGCAGCTCTGTGACGCTGACCGTCGATGTCGTCTGTGACGTGAGCTGGGGTATGTTTGAAGCGCAAGTCGAAGAGCTGCCTCTGTGGCAAGCCGCCATCACCCACGTGCACGTGTCGCCGGCCAAGTCGTCGCAGACTGCGTGGACCTTGCACCGTCTACTCTACATCTTGTACGTCGCCCAAACCCGTTGGGGCACGCATCCCGCCCCATGTACTCGCTCTTCCTCCGCCTCTTGCTCGAGCCCTTTGCGCCGTCCGTTCTTCAGGTCGAGCGAGACGCACTCCTTGCAGCCTCGGAGGTCTTGGAGCTCGTACCCGATGCGCATCGGTGGTTTGTGTCGCAGGTCGGTCTCGCCTCGGACGCTGGCGACTGCGCTCTGACCGTTGTCTCGGCCTCGGATGTTCCCAAGCGGCTGCTTTTGGTCCGCGGCAAGCTCGCCTTGCCCGAGCACAGTTTGGCACTAGGGTCGCTACGTGCGCCTGTGGTGGTCTAGCTGCTGCTGCTGACACACCTTGCGACCCCGCCCTGTGCGCCCTTGTCGTCGATCGAGCTCGCGTCGGCGATTGCGCTTGAGATTAAGCTCGACCTGAAGGTCGTGGTCCGTGCAATCGCTCGTGCGTGGGTCGACGGTTTCGATTTATGGTTAGCTTATCCGAAAAGATATGATGTCGTCTGGCTGGTTGTGATATGTCGAGCGTGGATTGGTTAAAAAGAAGTCGATGAAAAAGGGGAGATGCGTCAGTTTTCAAACCGACAGCGACGGCGGCGACGGAAGATGCCAACTAACGACGAGGTACTACGGCAACCATGCAACCTGCGACGATGTGGACGAGCGACGATGTGGACGAGCGATGATGTAGGGAAGACTTCTCAATGCTGCATGGAATGGCAAGTTGGCTGACGTCCAATATTATCTCGACAAAGGAGTCAACGTCAAGTGCACGGACAGCGTACGTTGGATCTCTCGAAATGAATTGTTTTACATGCATACATTGGAGTAGGATGGTTGGACACCATTGCACTACGCTGCTTCCGGAGGTCAAGTGGACGTCGTCCGCATCCTGCTTGACAAAGGCGTCGATGTGGACGCGCCCGATGTGGTACGCTTATGTGTTTATGAAGCTGTTTTGATGTATCTATTGACGTAGATTGGTTATACACCACTACACCGTGCCGCTGAAAGCAAAAAGTCAGAAATTGTCGAACTACTCTTGGGAAAAGGCGCCAAAATCGACGCCAAAAACAAGGTACAAGCCACCATGTCGGCGCATGGTACCGGCATGAATGTGCCTCAAGACTTCGTCAATAAACAACAGCAAAAATTAGGATGGCAAAACTCCGCTTGAGGTCGCAGAAGCATGCCGTTGTGATGACCCAGCAGCAAAGCTTTTACGCGACTATTCTCGCACGCAAGAGGAACAGGTATATAGTCGACCAAAATGGCGTGCTTCTCTACCGCGTCTATAATCACTCTCTGTTATAGCTCTTTGATGCTCTGCGCAACAAGCGCATTGATGACGCCATGCGCATTCTTCAAAAAAACTTTCTCTACGGCAACCTCCGTGACAGCGTACGCATTTTCACAATATGTCATCGATAGATGTGTCTTATATGAATGTAGTCTGAGACACCGTTGCTGCACTTGGTCGTGGCAACGCAAGATCTATCGCTGCTTCAAACGTTGCTTCGGAAACCTGACCTTAAAATCGATGCCAAAGACTCGGTATTTCCATAAATCGACTTCTTGAATGACTTTTTACGTTATGTGTGATGGAATAGACGGGTCGCACGGCCCTCGCGGTTGTCATCACCGCTGACAACGCAGAGGCAGCTCAAACGCTGTACGAGGCAGGCGCGTCCCTCGATCTCGTCGACAAGGTGGGGTTTCGACTTCGTTTTGCTGAGAATATTGATGGTGTGGTACAGAATATATGTG